GGGACCCCCCGGCGCCACGCCACCGCCCCGGTGCGCGGCCGCGCCGGCGGAAGACCAACCGGACCTGTCCCGAAGGGCCATTCGTAAGCGAATTGTTCGAAACTCAGAAAGTACTCCCCAACCGCACAGTTCCAATTCTTCCTGGGCTGCGGCCGCCCGACACCGTCGTGGGCAGTCCCGGTCCCGGACAAGGAAACTCGGGCTTGCTCACGGCGGGTCGGGTCCGAGCCTCACCTTTCTCAGCCTCAGTTTCGCCAGCTGCGTGTGAGTAGTCGAAGGAGGGAAGCCTGAGAGGCCCTTCATTGTTTTCTTGAGGCCGCCGAGCCAGCCTCGTGTCCTTTACCTCTAAAGTGGGGGCCCGCCTGAAAGTAATGCCTAGACGGCCATACCCGGTTTCTAAAGTGACCGCTGAAAAGGCATCGGGGTTAATGTGAATCAGCCCCTTCGAAATAATTCTTAATGTGTGTGTTATGTCGCTTTTTTAGTACAGATAGGGTACCAATAATTACACCTTTTTCTTGGGTCTTGGCGTTGTAAAAGCAGCTCCAACCGTAAATCACCGTCGTTGAGAAGACACGTGGTGTGAAACATTCATGAGTTCTCCTACTTCTCTCCCTCACTCCGGCCTCTGAGGTTGTTCCTGAAACAACTGTAGAGAATAAAGAGACTAAATCTCTAAGAAGTAACTTCCAGAAAGAAAGTCGAGGCGTTGGGAGTGAGCACGGGGCAAGGATTTGAAAGTTGTGTGCATTGTCCCAAGCTCTTTTTGAGCACCGTGTTGGGTGTTTGTACCTCCGGCTTCTAACAGTGGTTTTTCCGACCTCAGACTGATGTAATCAATGAAAAGTTTTTCCTTTCCTATAACTGAACACTCAGTCTTGTTTCTGGCCCTTGGTCCAAACTCAAAAACCCACAACATCCAGAGAAAACGATGTGAATAAATCTTAGATTCCTGGGGAAAGGAACACAAGAACTCTTTTGTAGACAAAGGATTCAAAAGCAAACCGAAGCAGAGGAAACCGGGCTAACTTCTCCCGAGTTGATTTGCCTCAAACTTTGCAGTTTTCCTGCAGGCTCTCATAAGTGATCCATACTGCACCAGACACAAAGCCTGCGGTCATAGAACTTTTACAGATGTTTGAAAGTTTCTACATGCTTTCGCAATACTTTTTTTTTTCCTGAATCGATTTGTTGGAAAGTTCCAAACACCATGAACCCTTCAGCCCTCTGTACATTGATGTAGCCTTCCCAAGAATCGAGATTTTTGTCTTATATAACCACCATACTTTTCTGAAATTCAGAGATTTATATTGATAAGAAACATGTAGCTAATCTAGGCTCATATTCTAGTTTTGTCCGTTTTTCTGGTAACTTAGAGCATTCTTTTTTCCTTACAAGACCAGTGCAGTGATCTAGGCAAAAAGTTGAATTTCTTTGTCCCTAAACATGTGTGTTTTCAGGCATCACCACTCACTAGAATGGTATGTCGATAAATATCAAGCATTTTCTTGTTGGTGTCGGAGCCTGGACAGGCCCTCATTCCCACATTTCCTGGCTCCCCGTAGACCTCAGCAGGCAGGACACACAAAGCACCTTTCTGAACCACGGTTATGGCCTTACTGTGCTCCTGGGGCTAGAGTTAACCCCCCCGTGGGGGAAGTCCTGGCCAATTCTGTAGGCAGACTACGTTAGTACCTTCTCCTCTCCAGACTCCTAATATCCCCTGCCCACATTTTCCCTCACAGAATGATGGCAGACGCACATGTTGTGAGGCTATGCAGTCTCCAAATGAGACTGGAGAACCCAGCCTCCTGGGGCAAGACAGGGTGGCTTTGTGGCTCACAAACTAGACTTGGGTGTCGAGGCAGGAAACAGGATTCCCTGGTAGTGAGGAATTCTGTTATCCAAACATGAGCTTCAGGAGGCTCATTCAGCTGAAAGTAGAGAATCTGATAGACTCTAATTTTAAATTAGTAATGAATTGATTAACATCTGTCTCCCTTGCTGATTGTAGGAATAGTGTCAGTGGTAACTATGTACCTTTTTGCTAGTGTTCTGCCAGCACGGGGTGTGTGTGTGTGTGTGGGGGGGTGCCCTGGCCCAAAGAGGGCACTAAGTGGAACAAGTCATTGGGAAAATAAGAGGCAAATGAATGTCTCCATAGTGTAAATGAATGGAGTAACGGAGTGATCTCTCAGCCCCAGGCATCGTCTCAAATGTTGCCAGTAGCTTTGGCAGAGGGAAAGTGTGGAGGGCAAATGGCATCCTGACAGATGCTAGTCATGCCGCTCGTCCCCACTGCACATGGTGCATTCTGGCATAGCTTAGAAGGCAGAGCTGGAAACCAGAGACCAGCCAGTCTGAGGACAGTCCAACAGAACACCCTGGTGGGTCAGCGAGAGATCTGCAGTCGGAAAGAAATCACAGTATGTTATGATTTGTATATGAAATGCCACTCACAGTCTTCTCCTTCTTGTAGGTGCCTGTACTGAGCATGGATCTTCAGCAGTGGTGCCCTTTCAGAAGGTGGTGGACACCCAGGAGGTAGAACCTGGATGGATTCACAAGTAGGTCTCTTGAAAGAGAATTTTTAAAGGTAATATCGGCTTCTCACTCCGTCCTTTTTTCACCCCCGCTTCTGACCACCATGATAGGAGCTTGTATGCCTTCCCTGCCATAATGGATAGAATCTTTTGAAGCCATGAACCCAAAACCAAAAAACCAAACTAGAACAACAGTTAAAAAAAAAAAAATCCTTCCATTGCTTTTCTAAAGTGCTTAAAAACCCAGGCTCACAAATTCTCACATAAAGGCTGCCCCAGAACCCAGGAAACTGTTTACAAGACTGGTTCCTACATCCATCCAGGTGGCACAGCAGTAACCTTTCATGGGTTGGTCCTTTTTCAGGATCCTCCTGTGGAGTGCTGAGGTTACAGACATGAATCTCAAGGCACAGCCTGATCTGCATTTTTAGCCTACCATGTATACTTGCACATGAGTAGTCCAAACATGTCAGCTCTCTGAAGCATTTAAGCCAGAGTTAAAGCTTTCCCCAGAGTCTACAGAAGAGTGATCTGGTGGCATTCCGAGTTTTTCTGGCTGTGGCAGTGACCCCATAGAGTCCTAGAATCTCAAACTTGGAAGGTGAGGTAAAGAGGAAACCGAAAAGGTCTTTTGGGTCCAGGGAGAAGCATGTATCCCAGAACTGTGCCGAGAGAAATCTTAGCTTCTTGGAGGAGGAGGACTCAACAGTTACATTTGGTCGGAGAATGTGGGAGTTGCAGCTGGAGGGTGGGAGGGTGAGGCTGAGTCAGGAGAACTGAGGCTGGAGGGGTCAGGAATACCTTACTCATCAGGTTCAGGCATTTGCCTTTAACCCAAGGACACTAGAAGATAATGTGTGTTATGGACTTTGCCCAGCAATCCTGGCTTTCTTGATCTCCGGCAGATCAGGATAACACCTGGACCAAGGGGTCCATTTCTTAGGCAGCTTAGCCAGCGGGCAGAGTGATGAGCTAAACAATCAGGTGCTCCTCCTGGGATTATGAATTAGAAACATTGATAGGGGTCAGGACAAAGGACACCGAGTGAGGACCACAGAATGGGGCTTGGTAGACCCAAATAGAGCCTGTAATTCCCGTCTTCTAGGCTTGGGATAGTATGATGTTCTTTGGACTGCCTCTATAATTTTGTTTTTTAATATCTTAATATAAGCTTTCCTTTTTTTGAATAGCTAGAATAAGAAGGACTTTTCAAAGCAAAATGGCCTCACTAAAAAAAATATTTCTTGGGAGTTTCACCTATTGAAACAGTTTGCTAACAGGAAAATTTACTCTTTGTAAAGAAAAAAAAAAAGTACGTGTTGTTGAGTTTAGAATGGTACACAGTTGTGTAACCAGTAAAGATACTGGGCAGTATTGACCCCGAAAGGTTGCTTCATATCCGACCCTTGCAGTCAACCCCCACCTTACCCCACCCCCTGGGCCCCACATCAGTCAACCACCCACCTGCTTTCTGACCTTGTGGTTGTGCTGTTGGAATGTATGGAACAGCACGGAAGGTAACAGTGTACCTCACCTGTGTCGTTTCCCAGATTTCTACCTCGTTCCTTGTCAGTGCGGATTAGGCTTCCACGGTCTGGGTGTACGTCCATTTGGTCACTCCTTTGTTGGTGAGGAGAAATTTGGGTCAGCCTCAGTTTTAGGCAGTTATGGATAAAATGGCTAGACTTCCTTGTGAGACGCTCTTTGTGGAAACAGGAGTTTCCACAAAAGTTTCATAAACTTTCATAAAGTTTCCCTTGGGTAAACGGCTAGGTAAAGCAGAGAGAGGTCTTGTGGTATGCTTTATCAGAAACTGCCAAATTATGTTCAGAGTAATCACACCGTTTGCATTTGCACCAAAAGTCCTGACCATCCCAGTTACTCCAGACGAGCCCGGCAGTGTCCTCAGTTGTAGTCATCCATATTAGTGTGCAGTGGTGTATCTTTCCTGATTTTAATTTGCATTTTCCTCATAGTTAATAAGTTAAGCACTTTCTCCTGTGCTTACTTGCTGTCTGTCTATTATTTTGTGAAGCTTCTGTTCAAATCACGTTTCTTTTGGGTTGTTTTCATATTACTAAGTTTTAAAGTTTCTTTAATATGGGTGCATGCTTTGCTTATTCTCTCTCTCTCTCCGGACTCCCCCACCATTTCAAGCATCAAAGAGAAGTTTTTGGAAGATAAGCCATCAGTTTATTGCTCATGACTTGTTTTTTGAGTCCTGTTTAAGAAATTCTGGCTTCACCTGATACCAAAACCGGTATTCTTCTATGTTTCTTTTTTGAAGTTCTATAGTTTCAGCTCTTACATTTACATGATTATCCGATTTGACTTTACTTTTTGATGATTGTCTTGAAGGAGTTAGATGATGCCAGGTTTTTTTTTTTTTTTAGAAAACTCCATCGACTTCTCTACAGATCAAGAAGAATAGCTGAGACACCGATCAGTAAGGACAACGGTGCACTATGAAAGTGATAGACAGCATTCTCACATGGCAACAGTGGTCTGGAGCGTGGTGGCTGAGGTAAGTTCACTCACACATCAAGTCACAGAGGAGCATGTATATAGACACCAAGCTGCTTTAAGGAAGAGCTTGGAACCTTTCAGCTGGAGGTCAGTGGCCCTGCCACAGGGGCCAGGCAGCAGGACCTAGGCTCAGTCAGCTGGGACCCAGGCTGTGTGTCTTTGGGGCAAGGTTCTAAGGATGCCACTGAGGGATCCCATCGAGTTCTATGTTTTTTGAGGTTGATTTTTCCATGTAAAAATGGAGATCACAGATATGTGTCCTTTTGAGTCTTCACAGCATGGTAGATGTCACAGAGACCACGGGGCAGCCAGTGCAAGACTGGATGCAGATGGGAAAGAGTACAAGGAGAGTTCACGGGCCAGGCCACTGTAGGAGGATCTCACTCTGGAACAATGGTCGAGTCTGGGGTAGGGCTGGTGCCCCATGAGACATCTCCAGCCAAGCTGGAAAACTGAGCATCCGTTTGTACAATTTGGACCACAAGGCTTCCCAGTCCAAATCCCAGGCACTTCCAGTTTTGCCTGATCAACTTCAGGGTGCTGACTTCACCTTAATACTTGTCCCTAGGAATACAGACATGGCTCCAGAAAATCAGTTACTCTAGTGACTGTGTCCAAGGGACATTTCTCCTCTGCTCATGCTGGAAGCTTCTAGGAAATTTCATCTTACATCTTGTCTGGAACAAGGTCCTAGCCTATATCCCTGCATGTAGGAAGGTAAGTTGAGAGCATATGGCATTTTACACTTTGATACAGCAGGAAAGAAGGTTCAGAGACAAGCAGAAGGATCCAAACAAACATGTATGGCTCTTATAGCCATAAAAATCCAGGGCCCCATCTTCATTAAAGGTAATGTTCTAATGAAATTATACATGGGGTTAGAATGTGAAGGCTAGCATGCAATTATAAACTCTGCTTAGATGTGCCTCTAAAATGTGAGGTCCTTTTTAGCCTCAAAAGAAAAACCCAGCCCCTTATTTCAATTACAAGTTAATTAACCACTAATGTCATACAAACTTTGCTGAATGAAATATATTTCCATCCAGTGCATTTCATGGTTTTAATAACATAAGTTTCAGGGCTAATAGAAGGACCCAAAATAAGGGTAAAATTACTTAAGTGGTAAAAATTATGCAGAGCTACAAGGGATATAATATCAGCATACCTTCCACAGTGTGCAAGGCAGTGAGGGAGAGTATGTTTTTAAAGTGAGACCTTACAATCAGTGTCAAAATTCTTAACACTGGAAACTCCTTCTGTTAGACAGTGTAGACTCATGAAGAGGGTTCACATATCTGCAAAATAGAGAAGCTAGCCCTCGGGAATGTGCTTGATAAAAGGTAGCATAGTTGGACTAGACGCATGAGCTGTCCTCTCAGGTGGAGAGCAGTGCTCTGAGGGTCTGTATCCTTTGGGGACCTTGTGCCCTCTATTGGCCAAGGAACACGTCAGTTCCACAGCAAGTTATGCTTTACGGTCATGGGTATGTTCTTTCTCCTTCATTCATGTGTAGATGTAATCCAGGGTCCTTAGGATTGACAGCCTATCTGAATCAAAGATGCATTGAGTGTATATGGGAGATTTTTGTGGGAAAGTTGTGTTTTCTCATCTTCTACTTTTTTTTAAATTTCATCGTCTCCTTTTTCCTCTTCTTTATTTCCCAGACAAGCATCTTTTAAGCATCTGCCTCATCATACACATGGACATATGTTTCATGTATGTACACACTGATTCTATGTGCATGTCTCAGTTAATACTTACAGTACACTGTGAGGTAAATGCTACAGTTTTAGCTCTGAGAAATGAGATGTCTCAAGACCACTTAACTCCAAGCTTCTGTGACCCATTCAACGATCTCTGCACCTACCCGTCTTTTTTCCTCTACTCAGAGCTGCCCCTCTTGTCATTTCCTTGCTATTTTATTATTTTTATTGTATAATCAGTTCTTTCAACACATAACCTCACGAGGTATCGTTTGTGCCTAATTCTATGATTAGATTTTAGTATAGTTAATAACTTTTCTCTTTAGGAAAGATGTTCTTGTTTACTTTCGGGTGATACAGTGTGTCCTAGATCCAAGGTAGGAAAAAGGGACAGTCATGGAAAGAAGATATTAAGTCTATTATTGAGCAGAGCTTTAACTTGTCTCTCCCTCTCTCTTGATTTTTTTGCTTTTAGAGAACTTGAGGGTTTGACTATGAACGCCGTGTTGGGAATTGTCAGAGCTCAGAGATACCCACAGGTTGGGGACAGTACCTTGTTAGGAAGCTTGAAGAGCCATCCAAAATACTATGGAAGGAAGAGGGCAGTGAGTATGCAACTAAACAGTGCATTCAAAAGGTCCAAAGGAGGGAAGTGTCCTACAGATGGGCCTTGAGACGCCGGGTGTCATTCAAAACTATAACATAGGTCAAGTGGATGGAGGCAGATAGAAGGGGAGCAATTTCTGGACTGACATTTAGATCATGGATTCAAGCCCTAGACAAAAAGGAGACATGGAGGGCCCTTATCTAGCTGGAGGACATGGGGCTAGGAGATCAGTATTCATTTACAGAAAAGATAGGTACCAATCACTGAGATGTGACTGACATCCAGAACACAAATGGTCTCCTTCAGTTTACCCTTAGATCAAGCTGAATCCCCACATCATAGAGGTCCTTGATGGAGGTGAGAGATGGCCAAGTGGGAAGAAAGTAGAACCAAAAAGAATGCCTTCAATGGCCTTGGAGTTGACAGCTTCAGTTGCCAAGCATGGATGAGATGCTGACTTCGAGGAGCAAGCTTCTTGGATAGACAGGTAGGATGCAGGTATTTACACTGCTCTCAAGACCTCAGGGGTGTTGCAGCCAGATTCTGGGTAGGCGACTGTGATGTCCAGAACAAAGGTGCCCCTGGAGTCCTCTCACAGGGAGAACTGCATGGACCCTCTGGACCACTAAGGGACCCCAAGCATTTGAGTAGTCTGGAGTTCAAGGAGACTGTGGGGCTTTGTAGAGCATTAAGCACAGACAGCAATTATCAGGTGCTTTCTCTTAAGAACTACCATCTCTGTGTGTCCATAAACTGCTTGGAGTCGTTGGGACCTTCTGCAACAGGGCCATCACTCTTGAAGGAAACCCATCTGGGCACCATGGAGATGATCCTGTTGGGGCTCCATGATTTGTCCTGGCACAGGGAGGCCTTGTGCTTTGGTGTGAGACAGAAATAGGTCCAAAATCAGAGTTTGCTTCATAGGAATTGAGCTTAAACAAAGTCTACAGACTCACAGATGGAATCTTGTCAGGACAATTCTTACCTAATGGGATTGTTTTGAAGGGTTTATACATTGTATGTGGTTGTGGCCCTAATTATTCAATAATATAATATAGTGGATCAGTAATTCAGACAGAGCGGCAAGCGTGGCTACTGGCCTCTTACTTAGTTATTTTTCTCTTTGGTTTGACAACATTTCTGACATAGCAGCTTAATGAAGAAGGGATTTGTTTTGTCTTGTGGTGTCAGGAGGACATTGTGCTTCATTGGGGAGAATGTATGGTAGAGCGACTCCGGGTGTGGGTAAATGTAGCTGTTGCTTTTTCCCATCATGGCAGATCAGAATGCAGCGAATGAGAACAGAAGCAGCATGGGAGAAACTCTCCACGACCCATCTCCATTAACTAGACCTCACTATCTTCCCAAACAGCCCTACTGACTGGGAATCACGAGTTTCAAACGGTACCACACCCCACGGTGTGAGTCCATTAATGGAAGGGGAAATCCGAGGCTGGGTAATTTTATAGAGAGAAGTTTATAAGCTCACAGTTCTGTAGGATGATGGGCATAGTGTGGCATCAGCTCAGCCTAGGGAGGACCTCAAGCAACAGTGTCAGAATAAAACTTTGAGTGAATGTAAGGGGGAGAGCTCTGGCCTGGGGAAATAGCAATTCCACCTTCTCTTTCAGGCAGTATCTCAGGCTTCATGGAGTGTGGGTCTGTGTGATTCTCAGTGTGCCTACCTACCCTCCATCAGTAAATGGTGGGGACTAGTATGATCTGTTCTCACAAAAGTCATGTTGAAACTTACAGATGGAAGAAAAGCCAGCAGACCATCAGTATCCCCATCTCCACCACCTGGACTGCCATGATATGAGCTTCTCTGCTCTGCCATACTGCCCACCACGAGGGACCGAACCTACTGAAGCCATGAATGAGGTAAGTCTTTTCTCACTTAAATTGTTTCTGTTAGGCATTTCTCAGCTCAATGAACAAAATGAGTAATATAAATGGGGGCAGATTAGTTTAAGAAGAGTGGGCTACCAAAAAAAAAAAAAAAGCGAGCTTCTCTCCTCCTCAGGCTCTCTCACTTCCTCTCTCTCATGTGATCTCTTTCCCTCTCACCCTTTCTCTCCTCACTGTCAGATACCATCTGATGTGTGTTGCAACCAGGGGCCCTCACCAAACATTGCCCCATGCTGTTTGGACATTCTAGTCATCAGAATCGGGGGTCAGGGTCTCTCTTCTTCACACATTACCCAGGATAAGATGTTTTGTTAGGGCAATGACAAATTCCAGGACCATTATTGTTTGCGATCACCTTTCCAGGAAGGGAGCTTGACCTTTGAGGCTCTTGGTTGCTTTCTTGCTGGGGAATAGGAGACTCAGCAACAGCCTAGCTCGTCAGATGACAATGTCCAAAGAATGCATACCTGGATCCCCTGCCTGGAGCGGGACACCCTGTCCCCATCCCCACCCTGTTCCATTGGCGGTTGCTTTGAAGGGCCAAGTGGGTGGCCTGCAAGGTGAGCTTTGAGCTGGGCTGCTTGATCCCCTCTTTATCTCAGAAGCATTCTCCACACCCATCCTGGGGGCGAACAGCCAGCCCTGCTGACATACATTAAAGTTCAGCAGCAAGCGGGTAAACTCCGTGGTGGCTTTGTTCCAAAGAAAGAAAGTAGAAGGCAGCGCCGTGTGGCTCAGAGCATCTCCTTTTATAACCATCAGTGGAAAGATAAATTTCCCTCATAGTCACAAGTTGACAGGAAGAGTTAAAAAATACTTGAAATGTCAACTATTTATATAACCTTTGGCCTTTTCCCAATACTGCGATGTGCATGCTTCCATCTCAACACAAGAGGAGTGAGTTTCCTGTTTTGTTTTGGTTTCGGCTGCCTCCAGGCACCCCTTTCTATGAATTGGCACCCTTCGCATGCTTGTCTGTTGGGCATTTGGCCAGTTTCCAGTTTTTGGCTGGTATGAATAGCATTGCAATAAACACCCATGGGCAAGCTGTGTATTTTTTTCTCTTCTAAAAAACATATCCTCCCCACCCAAAACACTGATAGTTTATTTTCCTCCTTCTAGTAGAGTCAAGAAAGAATGATTCTCCCAAGTTACCTTGGAGTCTAACTTTGTGTCTAAGGCTTAGACATAAAGGGCTCATCCCAGAGCATCTGCCTGTGGCATAAGGCAGAGCGTGGTGTTCCTGGTGGGCCACATGCTGCCGCCGACTCTTGGCTTCTCCCCACCCCTTCTCCTGTTGGCTGGTCCTGCTCACATGTGTGAGATGTTCCTTCGATCTGTCATCCCCGAGGACATGTCTCCTTCCATGCTGACCACTCAATTTCCCCACAGTTTCAATGTCCATTTTTAGCCGGCTCTGTGTTTACATGCCAGAGTTAATCTTCGTAAACAAGGCTATCTCTTTAGGCTAACCCAGATTTCACACAAGGTTAGGTTGTAAGATAGAGCCTCTGATGAGACAGTGGGGCTGTATCCTGAATGGAAGTGAATTTAGTTTACTCTTAGTCCCTAATGGAATCTCATAAACCACTCTCAAATCCTAGTGACTATTATGGTTTAAATATGAAATGCCCTTTACGGGTTCATGTCTTGACTGTCTGTAGCTTGTAGTACTATGTTTCAGGCTTTGGGTCTTGAGAACCTCTGGCAGTAGGCAGCTAGGGATGTGCTTTTGAAGATTATACCTGCCCCTGGTTCTGGTCTCATGAGCTCTGTTGTGCTTCTTCCTAAGTCCATTATGGTATGAAGAGACTCTTCTACATCTGCCCTCCCTCCACCATGAACTCTACTCTGTCTTACCTGTCTTGATGGGCTGTGTCCTCTAAGACCATGATTCAAAATAAATCCTTCCTATCTTAAGTCGTTTCTTTCCAGGATTATGGTCATAGCTACTCAAATGTAATTAACACAGTGACTTAGAGCCAGCGCCCTGCTCTTGGCAAGTCCTAATGGATCAGTGATTGTTATCAGCCTCACCTGGGTTCCTCCATGCTGTGGACAAAGAGCAGAGTGGGCCAGGGATGGCTGGAGATGGCTGCTTTTGCACGGAACACTGCATGAACATTGAAAATCGACCACAAACTCTGTAATTCCACATTAGCGTTTTCTCATGTCGTGTCCTAGTCACTATACAGATGAAAGTGACACAGATCTTGCCCAGCTCCTTCAACCCATGTATCACAGATGTGACAGTAGGTCAGCCTGGAAGCAAGATATTGTGTAGGGGAAGCGGTTAGTGTGAAAGGCATTCGCTTGGGAGACCTGTGAGAGGGAAGGGAGGAAGGCAGATTGATGGTAGAGAAGTAGAAGGGTAAGGAAGCCGAGAAGGGCACAGTTAATCCTACAGGTGGCTCTGGCCCTAACACCGCTCTTTTCTCTTTTCCATTGGCTGGACTTTGAACAACGTTGCTTCCGGTAGGGGCCTGGGCATAGGGTCGGTCTTGAAGTTCCAGTGAGTGCTGTCTGTCACCTACATGTGCGACAGCTGGGAGAACTAGCCATGCTAGGGTAACAAAAAAAGGTGGAGAGTGTACCAGGTTATCTGGCATTGCATGCTGGGACAAAATACTTGAACCTTGAACCCAGGTATTTTGTAAAGAATGAGTTGATCTTATAGCTTTGGATACTTAAAGTTCAGAATTAGGCAACCCCACATTTAGTCTCTGGTAAGAGCCTCCTTGGGTATGTCAAATGATAGCAAATGTCATCTTGGGGTGTGTGTGTGTGTGTGTGTGTGTGTGTGTGTGTGTGTGTGTGTGTGTGTGTGTATGTATGTATGTGTGTATGTGTGTAGGGGATTGATCACACAGTGAGACAGGAAGCCAGACAACAGGAGGAAGAGACCACTCTCATAAGAACTCACCTGTTCCATGAGCCTGTGAAGGATAAACAGCATTCATCCTTTCTAAGGACAATGCCACCGGTTACCCAATTACCTCCCACTTGGCCCTGCCCCTTAAGGATCCACCACCTCTTAAGATTTCCACAGTAGGAACCAGACTTCCAACATAAACCTTTGGGGGACACACTGGCACTGCATCCAAACCATAGCCCACTTTAAGCAGCTGTCACTCAGCCTGCACTCATATATGAACTTGAAGGCACTTACATAACCATTGGATGCTCAGCCAACACGCTCAGCAGTGTCCCCAGAAGAAGCATGCCGTTAGAAGGCATGCTGAGGGTTGTCTAATCCAATACTACTAACTGGTGAGAACTGAGCACCGGTTCTCTGTGGGACTCTCCCATTTTCTATGAATATTGAATTATTCTTCTAGAGCAAGCATTTGTCTGTAAATTTCATGCTGTTTCTCTATCTGCTGCAGTGTCTTTGATAGATGGCCTCACAGGCACCCCAACTTTAGGGCAGGCTGACCACTTCCACAATTCATAAAACCACTTCTCAGTCTAGGACTTCCTGTTATAGGTCATTCATGTCAGTGACATAAAGCCTCAGAGTTCATTCTTGAAATGGGAGTCCACACACAGGTATAACTGATGAGCCCCTCCCTGCCTCTCCCCAAGTCTCTTAAGCTTAGTAAACTCATATAACCTAATAAAATCCCACAGATTTGGTGGCTTGCATAAAGGGTATTTATTTTCTCACAACTAAGGCTAAAAATGTTAGTCAAGGTGCCAGGCAGTGCTGGTTCCTCCTGTGGCTTTTCCCCGTGGCTTGGAAATGACCATCTATTGAGAGCATCTCTACAGGGTCTTCCTTCCTTATAGGTCAGTGTCCTAATCTCCTCTTATGATGACACTAATCTTATTGGACAAGGTCTGACTACTGGCACCATCAGCTGTCTTCACCCGTTTTGGAGGACCTCTCCAAATTTGTCACATTATAATTAGAGCTTTGAGATGTGGAATTGAGTGATAGAATTTAGCCATGGACACCCCCCAGACCAGTGCTTCCATGCATATCCCCTTCCAGTGGTGGGCTTCAGATGTGGCCACCTTTTTCTTTTCCTTAGTACATGACTCCTTTTTTGGTGCTGTTGAGAATTTCAGACATGACTATCTCACTCTCAGCCCCTCCAATGCTCTCCATGCTCCCTTTCAAATTCATGACCTCTTCTTTTTTGAATGTATGTGTATGATATGTTTGTATGTGTATGTGCACGCACATGCATGTGTGTATAAATGGCACTTGGTTCATTTAATGTTGCCTATATATATATATATATATATATATAACTATATATAGTGTTGTGTTAGGGCTGATCATTTGGGATTGGGTATCCTCTCAGAGGGCTTGTCCCTGGAGAAGACTGGTTCTTCTCTTAGCAAACATTACTTGCCAGCAGCTCATTCATTTAGGGGTGGAGCCTCGTGAGGTTTCCCCCACCATCCATGATGACATGTTGACTGATAGGGTCTTGTGTGGCTATTGTTTAGGCAATCATGTTGTGGGTGCAACATTCCTATCATGTCTAGGACACTCTCCATAGTTGTCTTAGTCTTCTGGCTCTTAGCATCTTTCCTTCTCCTCTTTCATGTTATTCCCTGGGTTTTAGGTGTTGGAATGATGTTTTAGATGTCCCATTTGAAGCTGGACACCTTGGTCACTTATTCTCTGCATTTTAACTACTTGTAGATCTCTATAGGAGCCCCTTTATTCTGCAAAAAGAAGCTTCTCTGATGTGGGTCATAAAGATAGGTATTTAGAATGCAGTTGGGAATTATTATTATTTTTTTTGTTTTTTCGAGACAGGGTTTCTCTGTGTAGCTTTGCGCCTTTCCTGGGACTCACTTGTTTAAGAAAGTTAGGTTCTTCTCTAAGGCCCATAACATCATCACCAATAGGGAGAAGAACTGAATATTGTATTAGAGTTCTCTAGAGAAACAATTAGTATGTTGCATATATATTCATATGCATATACATATATATACATATATGTGTATATATGTGTGTGTATGAGAGTTTATTGGATTGGCTTATATGATAGATTAGAGATTGGGCCATCCAGCAGAGGCCATCTGCATTCTGGTGAGCTGGAGTACCTGGTTGCTTCTCAGTTCAAGAAGCTGCAAGCCTCAGAACAAGGGGAATCAATAATGTCCCTCTTGCTACCACAGAAACTCCTGGAAGATGTGCTTATGTAAGTCTCATGGAAAGGCTTCTTCAGAAGCTCGAGTCTGATGTTCATGAATAATGGCAGACACAGTAGACATACTTTCTCAAAATGAATGGAGCCTATGTAGACTTCTGTCTCTTTCTTCTTCCGCTTTGGCTCTATCCTAGCTCCCAGTCTGTTGGGTAGAGCCACCCACATTTAGGGAGGGTGTTTCTCCCTCTGTTCCACATGTCAGACATCCCTGAAATGTCCTCAGAAGCACACCAAGAAATGCCCTTTACTGATTTGATAGACATCTCTGAATTCAGCCAAGTTGACGATCAAGATTAACCACCACAAATACAAAGAAGAGACTGTGGAATAATGAGACTTAAAAAAAAAACTTTCCCCTTCATCAGAATAAATGCTTGTCATCCAATATCTTTAAAAATGGCCGTATTGATGAAAAGATCTTTTAATGGGCTCATTGGCAGCCGTATCAGATGGAGATCTATCACTACCATCCCCAACTCTTTGTAGGGCAAGACTTCCATCCCACTTTTGTTTGCATCTTTTCTCTCTGATCATTTCATTAGGCTCTAGAACTGGTTTCCCCTCCCTTTGCCTCAGCCCAGTTTTCTCTGCCAGGAAACAAGGCTGATGCCTTCTACAGAGGGTTCTGGAACCAGCCAGGAATCAACACAGCCCAGAGGAGCAATGCTTATAGGGCCACACTATCTATGAACAAACGAAGATGATAAGAACTTCCAAAATGTAGGTGCCATACAAAGTCCACAAAATACACATGTAGTGAATGCTATGAGGAACAGCACTGTAAATTACAGAAGATATCAGAAGACATTGTAAAATGTGTATCTGTGAGGGAAGGAGGAAAAGAAAAAAGTGAAGAGGGAGCTATAGTGTGTGTGTGTGTGTGTGTGTGTGTGTGTGTGTGTGTGTGTGTGT